AATTTTAAAATGAATTTTTTAAGTATATTAGGGTTTTTTTTTATTTATATTTGATTTAAAAGATTTTTTAATTGAATGCGTATTTTGAATGTGCACTTTACTAAAATATTAACAAAACATACAAATTTGTCTTTTATGTTTATGTCTCAATTAAACAAAATAAGTGATTGCTCCTAGTGTTTTTTTCTAGCGAATCCTAAAAACGGTGACAAAATCCATTGCATTTAATTATACACTTTTACATATTGCGAATGTAAAATGTCAAGCATTTCTATAACCAATTTAAACGTAAAACAAACCCAAATTTGTGTGAGTTATATTTGCCTTTCATGTAACCCAGCAAGGTATTAAATGCTTATTTTCCTACTCTCAGCGCTTTTGTAATGCTAATGCGCATTTAGGGCACCCCCCATCATGACTAAATGCTTAATATAGAAATTATAATTTTAAATGGCAGCTCAAACTCAAAACATGCCCTGCGACTTCAAGAGTCATTTCAATTTTGTGTGTGTGTATTTAAATTTAGTGAACATTGATTTCGCAGGAATTGCGTGGTGAGGAAGAACAAGGGGCACCGGATGGCAGAACCCACTGGCAAACAAGGTGTGACTAATAAATATAAATATTATGGCACATTAATAACTGGCTTGAGGGCAAATTTAAGTGTTGGCCATCATAATGTAATGCCATTAAAATGCCAACAATTTCTAGCCACGCAACTTTCGACACGCCAAATGAAATGTAACACGCCCACGCCAAGCATTCTCAGCCTACTGCCACTGCCGTGGCACTCTCCCTTTTCAATTTTAATCAGTTCGAGCAGTTCAAGCTATCTAATTGCTACAAATTACACTCGAAATCGTTGTCAGTCCTGTGAGATGCTTCTACTTCTTCTGTTGTCATGACATTTTGCATTTTCCACTTTAAATTTGCCACTTTGCCTCAGGCAACTGTAAGCGGCTTACGCCTTATGGACACAGTACAGTTTTTTCTTCTGTTCTAAAAGCATTGCTGTCTAACAGTGTGGGTTTTGTTTTTCCCAGAGAATTTGTCAAAGTTTCTGCTCGCAACTTTTAATGCAAGTCATTGCAATATAAAGGATGCCAATTGTGTAGTGGACAGCGCAAAAGTCATTTCAAAGAATGTTGTTTTTCTACAACATTTTTCAAAAGAAAAAGTTTTTGTTAACGAGTTGATCTCGGTTTTATCACAGGGGCAGTAAATTAAAGCCAGCCTTCATATACTTAAGAGCATTCAATACCATTTGGAAAGTGTAAGTCAGTAACGGCAGTTTCAGAAAATTTTGTTTTTATCACTAATTTTGTAGTTAAGTAGAAGCTTAAAAAATGTTGAAATATCTTCAGCTTCATAGTTATACATCTATAACACTAATTATTTCGGACAGACGGTTACATCTCAGCTGGGAATTTTTTAAAGACAACTTAATAAATATATTTCAGAGGTCATTTGCTAGTCGTGCATTCTCTACCGTAGGTCAATAAATCGTCTGAAATAAGCATGGGGAAAGTTGTCGTGCAAGTTACAAAAAAGAAATTCCTTGAATAAAAAGTTCAGTTGATTTTCTAATTGGGTAATTTCCTCGAATTTATAACCCATTGGCCCTATTATATCTTCAAGTCGATAATAAGGACTTGGATTCAGCTTATTCCATGCCTCATTTTGAATATATTATGCCCAATTAGTTTTTCGCTTTCATCAGAGCACTCAACTGTTTGGTCAGCACTTTTTTTACCTCTACTAAGTTCTTGTAACTTCTGTGCCATTTTTCTTTTACCCTCCTCAGCCTATAGCCACTCGCAGCGAAATGTGAGCGTCATTAAGTGATTTTGCAAAAAAAAATTAAGTTGAAGCAGAAAAGCAAAATGGTGGGAAACGTGGATGACGTGCCGAAAAATAAGGCAAAGAAATTGATATGAATGGGCAAAAGTTTTCTGCAATGCTGAATTGAAGCAACCAAAAAAAGGCAAGAAATAAGTGGAAACTTAGTCTTCTTCTTTTAATCGTCCTGTGCCAGGTGGTAGGTCGGTCGCCGAAAAGTGCGCAAATTAATGGTTATGCCTCGCAGTTTGGCTCTCAGATGAGGTGTGGGCAAATCTCGTCATAATGCAATCAAAGTTTTTCACCCCCAGGTCTTATTGCCCGTACAAATCCAAGGAAAGGAAAAAATGTACCAATTTGCTTAATGTGTTTGTGATTGACCTGTGAGTAAAAGACGTAGCACGACTACCAACAATTCCGTAAAAATGTCTACATTCACTTTGTGTCCAGTTCCCCAAAGGTCAAAGGGATTGGCCAATAAAAAAATACAAAGTAAAGGAAAATAACTAAATGGGAGAACGTGTTTTACTAGTTAATGCTCTGGGGAATGTGTACCGAATAAACCTGGTAATGTTTAAACTTGTAGCTGCTATTTAGTTTTATCGAATTGGGTGCATACGATGGAGTGAATAGAAAGGATTTTTATTTAGTAATCGAGAGCCAATTCCAAAATTGATGGCTCTTTACATTGTAAGTACATAAAAAGCTCCTCGAGAAGTTCTCGTTTTCTTCTTTATGCATTTAAAATGCACCAATTTTAAATTACAACTGACTAAAACATGTTTAAGTGCGCATTCTATCTGTTTTTCATACACACTTGCTTAAAGCTAAAGGGAATAAAAAAGTAGTTAAGCACATCATCTTTCTAAATTGTATATTCAGAATTTCCCGACATCTTTTTGATGTTTGCCCTTTTTAATGTTTACTAGGAATTTTTTATGGCAGCCTTTCACTGAATTTAGCGCTAACAGGGTACAACAAAGTTTGCGTAGCCATATTTTGCCTACTTATGCCCACATTTGAGTGGTGACTGGGTGTGAAACGGCTTATTGCTTTACTCAAATTGCTTTTCATATTTGCTTATGGCGGCTGAAGTCTGAACACTCCGTTTACTTTATAATTGCGTATACTTAATTATTGATTTATTTTACATTGTGCGGTGCACAGCTGCCGCAAACACACACAGACAAATATTGTTTGTTGGCTCTTTATAATTTCAGCGAGAACTTAAATGACAGCAGACAAAGATTTATGATAACCGTTCAAGCGAATAATGTTTTCGCCAAGGCAAACGTCTCATCCAAATTGGGAAATATCGGGATACAATTCAAGCAGAAATTATATCTACAATCATTAAACGGCACCAAAGGAGAAAAAAAGAACAAGCTCAAGCACATCACAGCCACAAAATACCAACACAAACAGCACCTTACCCGCACTCAATATTGAACCTTAACAGCGCTTGAAAATACTGGTGGGTTTTTAACGATTTTTTCTCCTGGCGACCTGACTGTTTAACGATTCACTCAGCCAACTCCTTTGCCGTCTGCTGATGCTTGACTGACACTGACGTTTGCTGCCTCACATTTTCCGTGCAATTTTCGGAATTGCCGGCAAGAAGCCGTTCATTACACACACACCCAAACATATGTATATGTATGTATGTGTATAATTTCCAAAATGCTCGGTTTCACATTGTGCGACTAAGTTGGGTCTGCGCCCTGCCCAAGGATATTTATTCATTTACCATTTGAGTGGTTACCGAGTTTTCAATCAATTATGCTTAATTAGCGCATCCATTTTGGTTGCTGCGCATTTCGTTAAAGCAAAAATATCATATTTATTGCTAAGTAGTAGACTCAACAGGGATAGCGTATTTATTTTTTTTTTTTAAGATATGAATAACTTGAATGGAGGTATTATTTATTTATTCCGAAAAATTAGTTTAGGCATTTAAGGCGACAAAGTATCAATGATTGAATATTCGCTTGTACACAATACGGTCGATTGTTTTCTAGAAATCATGCAAATAAAATTCGTGGAAAAGAATATTACAACCAAATACATTTAAAATACGTAGGATTGCAGACACACAAAGTTAGCCAGTCAAAAAGTTTGAATTCCCGAAAATTCGTGTTATTAAAAACCAAAAGACAAAATAAAAAAATTGTGTCGAACAAATTGACTATCAAAAAAATGCCATCAGGGAGAGCTGGGCGTCTTTGCTGCTGCTGATACACGGCGTATCAGCAATTTTTAATTTAGCTGGTGGCAAAACTTTTTTTTCAAAAGAAATACACAGTGAAAACAAATGCTGAAGCCAAATAAACAAATTGAAAACTTCAATTTACACAAACCTAAGATGCAAACAATACTCAAATATTAATCGAACTGGCAAGAATTGAATATCTATTCGTATTTGTTAGGCAAAACTTTGCTTTGCATGCTTTCCACTTCGCTGTTGAAGAGTCGAAAGCAAACTTTGTGAAGAAAACCAATTTTCTGTTTGCTCCAATTCGGTTTGAGTACGTAAGCCTTGGCACAAGTTCGTCGATTCAGTTTTTCATTGTCACACTTCTATTATACGCCAAAGAGTTGCTGTTGGCTTTTGTTGCCACGTAAATATACATTTATATTCCGTCCATGTGCACTGTTGTTATTGTGTGTGTGTGTGTGTGTATCAAACATTTCAATTTCCGTAAGGACTGCCAAGTATGCGTATCCTTCATGCACATATCAAGTCGTCGTCGTTCAGCCAACAAGGCCGAAACAACAAACAATTTGCCGCTGGGTCTTCTTTTGTGTATTTTATTAAGCAACAAAGCGAGGTCCAGAAAGCAAAGAACAGTGGAGAAAGTAATAGAAAAAAATATACGGCTTGTGGCACATTGCCAAGTAACATTTATGTGGCCATTTACCAGACGTTTGTTACCAAAACAGAAAAACCAAAACAAAGCAAAACAGCGTACATCATGAATATTTAAAACCATTTATTATAATACTTGAAATTAATTTTACTATTTGCTTTAAATTGAATACTTTAAATTAAAGCTATAAGAATTATTAAAAATCCCTAACTGTGCAATTAAATTTCAAATATTTCAATATACTAATTTAATGAAAACAACTTTAATACTCAATTTAATTTGTGCTATTTACAGTGCGATGTATTCGATGAGATTGACCTATCGGAATTGTGTTATTTTGAGTGCAGCATTAAAAACGTAAATCACAGTTTTCAGGTAAGAAACACATAACTGTACGATCTGAAATGATTAAAATTAAGGAGAGAGATATAATTTGAGTGCTTTGCAGCTTAAACTTAAATGTCAGTAGTTATATAATATACATTGTTATCCATGCTATTCATAGAGTTTCAGAGGCCTTGAAGCAACTGTTAAGCAGAGTTGTATTTATGTTCATCCCCCTATTTTCTAGAGCAAAAACAAATTTTCGCAAACAATTGATGCTAATAAAAACTTTAATTTGAAAACTTTTCGCTTAGCTCGTAACGTAAATATTTTATTTGGCACTCGTGTACGCCATTAATTTGTGTATTGTGCCAACAGTTGCTGTCAAATATAAATAATTGGAAGGCACGTTTTTCTCAAATATTCACATAACATAAACATACTGTGGTGCTTTAACATATATGAAGTGTGAAAATCTGAAAGGCGAGAGTAAATAAAGAAGCTCAATATTCACTTTATTTTGGCAGTAGGTTGTCTCAAGCTGTCTGGAGCTGTCTAAGATGACATAACCAAACTCATTTCCTGTTTGCCATTGGCTTGCCTCATGCAAATATGTGATGGAGAAGCAACCACCTCCGCTGAGTCGTATCCTCCTATGCTCAATTACGGAGGCAGCGGCTGAAAATCAACCTTTATTTCTATTCAAATACCATCAATATTAGTTGTCAGAAACAAAAGGGCGAAATCTAAGCAAAATGCTTACATTTGACGCGCTCTGCATGCCAAATTAGCATAAGCTGTTAAATTCCCTATACACATACTTATACACCACACAAGCATCCTGAACATTGGCAAGACCCTAAACCAAGCAGCTTCTCAAGCCTAAATATTTAAATTTATATTTCTTCATACACGAATGCGCAGCTTTTGATGCGCAAAATTAGCGCATATATTCCCCGGTTTTATGCAATATGATTTACATATACACACATTTATGTGTATGTGTGTAAGGACCTGTTGTACCCAGTTAATATAAAAAAGGGTATAGTAAGAATATTTGAAATACATATGTTCCCCTTGTGCTACAATTTTAATGTTCATTTTTTAATAATTAAAAAATACCGGAAAATACTCGCAATATTTATTCAAGATGATTTGCCTTCCTGGGATGTTACAGCAGGGCATCAGCTAGTCGAGTATATAGTAATGCACAGTTTCTACCTATTACAGCTCCTGTTGTATGCCCGTACGCCACAATAAAAAGGCCATATAAGCATACAAACATACTTAAATATTTCTGATATTAATAATAAATGTACCATCCTGCTCTCAGGATATAGCCACAAGCCTTTCTCACGAAATGGCTTTAGCTAAGGCAGCATCAAAGACGCTGCTGCCGTATTTTATTATGTTTTATAGGCTCAAAAGCAAAGGTGTTTTTGCTAGACAATCCACTCTTCAAAGCAATAAGGTGAGGTGTGATATATAATGTGGATGGAAGTGAATGGCTTTAAGAGATTGCGACAAGTTTCCAAATTACCTAAAGTTGAACGCTGAAAAGCTGAAAGGTTTGTTAATATGATGTAAATATATGTGGCATATATATTTTGATGTAAATATATGTGGCATATATATTTTTTTTTCATTATCGTCACTTTCTTGCTCTCTGTTCTTTGAAGCGAACATTAGAACAACTAATTAAAGGGAAGTTTGGTGTGACTCGTGTAAGTTGCTTAAAATGATAAATAACATAAACTTTAGCCGACCAAGGTGCCATTGCACCCATCTAGGTTTTATAATAAATTGCATTAGTTAATAATATGTGATAGTCATAGTGATACTTCTCATATATTTTTCGATTCGTGCCAATTAAATTCTTCAAATTGTATTTACAGAAATGCAAAATACCACAAACAACAAATAAATAAATACATTTCTGTTCACATAGACACGACAAGGAAAACTAGCTGCATCAAAGTGCAGCAGGCTCCTCAAAATTACAGTTAAGCACCTACATTTACAAATACAAATGGTTAGTTGTACCTGCAACTGAAGAGCTCTAAGACTCTATGAGCTTTGTAAGCGCTCTGTTAACAAGCTCCTTATGGGATCCAATTGCCAGTTGCTTACATCAAATTCGAAATAATCCGACTTAAGACCCTGCCACAATGTACTTTCAGTTGAGCATTACTGAATGCATGGCTCCTTCAGTTTGTTTCTATTCTCCAAATGCGTTTTGAGAATATTAAATTTCATGCACTTTTGAGTGCTGCTTAAGAATAATTCAATATGTTCACTGATATATATTCTTTAATTGTCCATAATCTTATATTTAAATTTAATTACATTTAATAATACAAAAAATCCTAAGGCAATGAATTTTTTTATTTATTATAAAAGATTATTTATTGCCATACGATTTTTTCCTGTATAAATAAATCATTTAATAGACCTAAAAGCTCTAACAAAAGTTGAAAATTTCCATTCATGAAACAAATTTCTAAGCCTTTTCGCAAACTTGACAATACCGCCCTCCTTTTTATCAGGAAAGCAAATCTCTCAGTTTTTGGGCTATTGTTTGTAACTTTTGCACTTTTCTACATCAATCCAAAAAGGCGAAGGGCAACCAAAATGCTGGTGCCCAAATTATGCTGAGAGACGGGAACAGCAGAACTGTTTATATTGCTTGCTTTGCTCGTTTAATTTATTTGAAGGGCATTATAATTAAGGCATGTCAGTTACATTTATGCTCAGACATAATCTTGATAATGTGCCAAAAGCAATTTGTGAAAATTACAAAATTTAATTAATAACAGGGACTTGTGTATGTTGCATTTGATAATGATTATGGAGTAATCCCAAACTGAACTATTTGCATATTGATGCCAATCAACAGTAAGAAAGCCCAGCAATCAACTTTGAGTTAAAATATAATTTGCATGCAGCACTTAGCGTACAATTTTCAAGTACAAACACATGCGGGGATCTCAAGTAGGTAAATTTGTAAGAGTCAATCCAGTTGATTGATTGCCCTTGCATCTGAAATTAAACAAATGTGTGAGGGTGTGTGAGCTTGTGCTTGTGTGTGCCTGTTTGTATTTAGGGGGGTTATATCAATTATGCAAGGCGCTGGCTGTTGATAAGTAAGAATAACAGCAGCGGCTCATGTTAATTGCGACGCCGCACAACATGGCGTATGTGTAATGCGCAATATTTGTAATTCTTCTAATTGAGCGGCAATTCCAAACAGTTATATTCTGCCAACAAGTTCAACTAAAGCACAACATGAACAAAATACTAACTGCGACTATTTAAGATAGCCAATCAAAAAGCCAACACAGTTTAGTCCAAAAATTACACACTTAAGCTTTTCCAGAGCGCTGTCAAAATTAATTTTTGTTAATTAAGCAAAGTTTGAATATGGAACCGCTGTTATTATTTTTCACTATATTTTATCAATGAAAATTAAAATCGTTTTCATGGTGGATTTTTTTTGTCAAACGACAGAAGCCGCAAACTGCATTTATTTAATTGTTTGCTCTTGACTTGAATGGGCTTATTTTGTGACAGTCTTTTATTTGCCAGACGACAAAAATATAAATAACTTAATTCTTGCAGCTTTGACAATATTAGCTTCACTAATAGTAAAATTGTTAATCATATTTATTTGGAAAACTGTGTGCGACTAAAGCACAAGTCAAATCCATTATATGTTATTCAACATTATACATATTTCACTTGCCAGTTTATATTACCTTTAAGCTAATTAAAGTACTTTGCGAAAGCTAATAAACTCATTAAAAACAAACATACCTATTAATATCCTTCTGTTTCATATTCACATAAACTTTATTGAATTTCTCACTTTGTTTGCTACTCTAGAGATGCTTTTTGCTTTGTTCTCTGGCTACAAATCCATTTACACATCTCTCCTAACTCTGATATCGTTCTGCATGATTACATGTTTATGATTTCAATTTATTATGCCATAAATCTCATATTTGATGTATCAAAGTTCAAGCACCTCCATATATATGCTTTCATATTTTGAATTCAAAGAAAAATGCTCAGCACATATCGCAGAATTGTTAGTTCCTCAAACAGCAGGATGCGGGCCAATGTCCTGTGGTGATGCCAGCAGCTGGCAAATAAGAAATTTGATACAATAATAACAAACTGAATCCACGCATTTCTTATAGGTTTAGTGGGTTACCAGGTAACTGACAAAACGCACACACACACACACACACCCACACACCCTCTCATACACATGTCCTTGAACTTTTAAATTTGACTGAGCTCATAAAATATTGCTGACATGTACTCAAGTACGTTGTTTAATATTTGTGGTGCTAAGTCGTATGTGATGCTTTTGATATACCTGCCGGGTTTTTTTTTGTTGTTATTCTCTTTAAGTTACGCTTTTAAAATTCGTTTATTTTCATTTTCAATCTTGAGCTGCAATGCAAATCAAGCAGTAAGCTTACAAAACTTATAAATATTTATGGAGGTATTACATTCGCCTCGTACATATTACAACTTTTGGATGAGACAACGGAGTGTCATGAAAAGTTTTTATACGCCTATATACATATATATATATATATGGATGCTTATTCAGTTGAGGCAGTAACGTTAACTTCATACACAGTTGGCGAAATAGCCGCCGGCCATTAAAATTTCAAAAGTAATTTCAACATTGCGCTGGGTCGCTCAGAGTGATAATGAAAAAATATGCAGGAAACGTGTGGCTTGCATTTGGGGATACACACAACGATATGGGGAAATACTCAGAAATGATGAAATGCGGGCAAAAGTATCCAGAAATTATTTCACTGCCTACCTCGCTCCACCACTCTGTCAGACGTTTTTGCCAAAAACAATTGTGATGAGCGCGTTAGGGGACAACAAGGCGTATGCGTAATTCGGCTGTTGCTTCTGGTGCTGATGCGCTGCTGCTGCCGCTGCTGCTTTTTTTTGCTGGGTACGACTCCTCCAACTCATGCATATTTTTTGGCAAAATTAAACTTTGTGGCGAAAGCCAATGTCGCCAGCCTCCTGTCTTTAGCGTAATGAATTCTGGCAACGAGCGCCTGCCTTGTTTTTGTTTGCTTATTTGATTGGAGAGCAGAGTGCGCGCATTGTGGCTTGTGTCTGTATCCGGAAGCCAAGTACAGTTAAGCTAACATTTACTGCCACAGTATAATATAAAAGATACATATATAGAGTACATATACCCGAATTTAATATCATAATGTCTAAGCCATAACAAATCAAATTTGTTGTGCATATCTTTATACTCAATCAAAATATTAAAGAGTTATAACTTCTATCTTAGCACCTTAAATTACTTGCAACAAAAAGGGAATTATAAATTAGAACAATCTAAATTAAATAATTTTTGTCTAACTATCATTTATATTGGAATTATTGGAACTGTTTTGATGTGTTTATCAAGCTTATATTATGGAAGCATAACTCAAACTCATTTTTATTATATTCGATTCGCTTTCCATTACAAATAAGCAAATTAAAGTATTATGCAAGCATTGTCTACTTTAAATAACATTGACGTACTAATTGCCATAAATAAATGCAAATAAACTCATTAAAAACGTAAAAATTCTGTAACCTAATGCATAAATTATAAAATCTGATTGTCTGCACTTAAATTGGCTCGGTTTTAAACGCAAATAAATTAGAATACTAAAGTGGTAACGGAAAATTAACAAAAAGTTTACAATTTATGTTTTATTTGTATTATATTTATGTTTTTATCACTTTACCAACAACAAATATAACACGCAAGTTTCAAACAATTGGGTTGTACTTTAATATTAATATTAATATTGAAATTGATATAGTTTGGTGGCATTATAATTTACTAATTTACAAATTATAATTTACTTAATTATTTAAAAGGGGTTAAGCTCTTTGCTAACCGTTTCCCCTTTTAAATAAGGCATCGTGGCGCCAGTCGCTCCGTAGCCAAGAGCGTAAACTACTTTGGACCTGTTGTTGTATTCTCTGAGTTTAAACCATTTTCATATAGTGAAACCGTGGTAGTTAAAGTGGAAGCGTGTGCTATCGAACACCAAATGGATTTTTCTGTACGGTCTATGAAATGCGAGAAATGCAACCAAGGATAAAAAAAGAGCCGTGAAATACAGGAGACAAGCCCGGAGGATTCAGGTTGCATTATAACCAATCACCAAAGTGCCGCACGACGCTTTCTCCTTACTGTTAACCAGACTCGCTTTTATAATTAATTGAAATTTATGTCAAAACTCTGTCTGCACATTTATAGATTTATACTTGCTACACAGCAGCAACAATTTTTTGAATTTATATAAATTTAACGGTTTTTGATACAATTTTCTTATGAAATATTTGCATAAACTCCACTCACAATGGTTCATTTAGTATTTGTTTTTGAGAAAAACAGAATAAACAGATTACTTTGCTACAACACTCTCGTCATTTTATTAATAAGCAATGATCAGCGCTCGAATTTTATAAATTATTTGCTTTCATGAACATGAGAAGGTCAAAAAAGGATTCAATTACGGAATGACTTCAAGTGCAGCGGCAAAGTTGAGATGAAATTAAAATTACCAGGAAATGAAATGCTATGCAGCCTTTGAAAGTTGCAGCATAAACTTGCAGGTAATTGAACCAATCAATTCTGAAGTCCTCGCTACGTTTGTTTACTGAGAAAGCGCAAAAAATTCCATCCCATTAAAACCCGAACTGGGTGGTGTTGGTTTCGATGCTGCACGAAGCAAAAACGGCGGATGTGTGAGTAAATGTCAAGTAAGCCACACGCGCCAGCCAAGCTTAAAAGCAAGTTCATGTTGCAAGTGCCACAGGCAGGCGGCAGGACTGAGGGCACGTGCACCTGCCTACTAATTGAATAGAAATATCAGATGCAAAGCCACAAACCAGCGTTAAAGGTCACAAATAGAGACAAAAAGAGAAGTAGTCTGAGCTGACACAAATTCGTCCGATTCGGTAAGATTGTGGCATCAGTCTTATTAATTGCAACATCATGCAAAATGTCTGTGGTTGCAAAATGCTTCTTTCGCATTACAAATTGTGGCGGCATTTCGACATTTTTTGTATAATTAATAAATTTATAAAGCTATTTAGACCTGTGGTTGACTTGTTAGTTAGTCTTTAAAATAACTGAAGCGGCATTGTAATCAAAGCTCACATTTGATATATTTTTAATGTTGGAGATGGATACGTGTCGAACATAAAGACATTAAATTTAACAATGATTTAGAAATACTTAAACTAAAAACATTGGGGTATCATTAATGAATATATCTGTGTATAAGTTTTTTTTAACACAAAACTTGCTGTTGAGAAGTTGGCTCGTTAAATGTGCTAAACATTTTGCTTACACAAACATTTCGTGTGAGTTCGTGTCACGTGCCCAGCATTTATTTACCGAGAACTCAATCTCGTCCAGGTGCACCTAATGCACAGTTATTTTTGTTTTGCAATCGACTTTTGGATTAGCCCTTTCCTGTGCCTGTGCCTGTGGCTTTGCCTGACCTTTGTGGTTAACTTTTGTCATCACTTTGGCCTGGTCATGTTGCCTGGCATCGGCTTATTTCACTTTTGCTGTCATTCCAACTTTGTCCGGCCCCCACTGCAAGTGGATTATGATGTTTATGTGGCCATAGCTCACTCTCACTGCTGTCCATTGTTACCGTGTTGTCATTGTCGTTGTTAGTACTTTCATGTCATCTGGTGTTGAGTTCATTCATTGTGCAAGCTATGAGATTGGCATGTATTGCATGTCAACTGCCGTTAAATGGGTCAAATGTGCTTGCACAACAGTTTTGAATGGATAGGCATTGGCATTGATTCCGTTATTTATTTGTATAAATAGATTAGTAAATCTGAATACACAATAAACATACATAAATCTGTAATAATAGCCATTTCGATAGCTCAATATTATTTGAAGCCATGCAAAATATTTATTAGTATTTCTAACAAAATATATTGAAATATAAGACATTTTCAAATATCAAATATAAATGGCTATTGTATCAAATTATAAGTATGTGAGATTGGAAATGTATTTTGTATATTAAATGTAGCGCTATTATATATATATATATATATATATTAAATAACATTTATAGCCCACATTTAAATAAAACATAATAACAACTAGCTGGCATGCAAGCATCACATTATCCACAGCAACTCATAAGTCAAGGTCAACTCATTAACTTAATAATACAAATAAAGAAAACTTTCTGACATCAATTACCTAAATGAACTTCACCACAAGATGCACGACAATATTTGTTTGCCACACAGCAATGATGTTTGCTTGAAGGACATGTGTGCCATAAATTAGGCAATACGACAAGCAAATCATAATCAGGTAGCCAACGGGCTTTGGATGGCATTATCATTATCTTTTACCGTTGCCTCAGGCCACAAAAGGTCCTATATTAATAATGTCTGTACTGTGTACATTATGTATATCTGTGAGGTGGAATGAGGTGAATGGGTCGGTGGACTGGGTCAAGGATTGAAATACGCCCACCACAGCCTTTGTTCCACTTGAAGGCTTGCCGCATTGTTTTGCTACATTCCATTTGGAGGAGTGGCTGGTCGCGCCTGTCTGCATATTAACATTAATATGAGAGTTATTTGCATGTTAATGAGACCATAGAAACTAATAGACCCCTCTCTGATTACACAACTATCAAGCAAACGCCGTTCCACCCAAATGTAGACTCAAAAGATATGCGTATTAAGGCCACTTTGTGTACTTATTATGAGCAAACACATTTATCGAAAGACATTCATTGGTATCTGTCTTTTAATGAAAGAGTTAATTAGCTAGTATATTTACATAAAGACATTTATTAATTAGTCTGACATGTGTTAATATACCGGTTTGGGTTACCAAAGTAAAAGCCAAATAAAACTAATGCAGAAATTTGTATAGTTATTTGTATAGAATTTAAGAACAAAAAAAGGTACCTAAAGTTATGTTTATAGTTCTGACACAATCTTTCTCGAAATATATTGACAGAAATATTTCTTAACTTTGAAATACTCTATAAGCATTTGAACGAATGTTTCATAAAACCACAAATTTTATATTTGAATTCGCAGATAATCACACCAACTCGGTCTGTGGTGCTCTGCGCCGACTCCAGACGCGACATGGAGGATTGGCTGGGCTCGCTAAAAGCGGCAACGGCGCCGCAACGACCGCGTGGCGATAGCATTCTGATTGATCAGCATGATATACTATCGAATCACCATCACTGGTATGCAACCTCGCATGCCCGACCCACCTACTGCAATGTGTGCCGGGATGCGCTCTCTGGCGTCACATCGCACGGACTCAGCTGCGAGGTGTGCAAATGCAAGGTGCACAAGCGTTGTGCCGCTAAGGCGATAGCCAACTGCAAGTGGACAACGTTGGCGACTGTGGGCAAGGATATCATTGAGCAGCCGGATGGCAGCATCATAATGCCGCATCAATGGATGGAGGGCAATTTGCCCGTCTCATCAATCTGTGCTGTGTGCAAAAAGACCTGCGGCTCAGTGTTGCGTCTGCAGGATTGGCGTTGCCTCTGGTGCAGGGATACGGTGCATGTGGCCTGTCGTCCCCAAATGGCGATTGCCTGCCCCATTGGACCTGCCAAGCTGTCAGTGGTGCCGCCCACGAGTGTGCATTCAATCAGCACTGATGATGCCTGGGATGTGGCCAGTCCAAAGGGCAACTTTTCCCCACTGCTCGTCTTTGTCAACTCCAAGTCTGGCGACAATCAGGGTGTCAAGTTCTTGCGACGCTTCAAGCAGCTACTGAACCCAGCGCAGGTCTTTGATCTGATATCGACGGGTCCTAGTCTGGGCTTGCGTCTCTTTCGGCACTTTGAAATGTTTCGCATACTCGTCTGCTCCGGAGACGGTTCCGTCGGCTGGGTGCTCAGCGAAATTGATCGATTTAATATGCATGTAAGTATAAATCAGAACAAAAATTGTTCGACAAGCCGAATTTCAAATACCCTTGTAGACTGCAGTTCAATTTGCAGACATCTCAATTCAAATGCTAATTATAAAATGCTAATAAAGTTATTAAGCAACCAATTATAGTTAGCTTAATACTGAGAGATATTTTCAGGCAGACATGGATGATTAAATATATATATATTTTTTATATAATTTATCATACAATATTAAATGTGCCATCTGCAAGGGCAAATAAAGTATAGACTCTATAGAATTTCATTAACACTGTTTATTTGCTTGAATAGAAACAATGTCAAGTAGCTGTCATGCCTTTGGGCACTGGCAATGATCTCGCTAGAGTCCTGGGATGGGGCTCTAGCTGCGATGATGACACACATTTGCCGCAAATTCTGGAGCGTTATGAGTCGGCCAGCACTAAAATGCTGGATCGCTGGAGCATAATGGTGTTTGAGAAGGCCATCAGTGTGCCCAAGATACCAAAGATGTCTATCACAACGGAACAGGAGGCGGTGCTCACTGGCATGGTTACAGCGGCCAATCAGCATCTACGCTTAATAGTGGAAACCAACGATACCCAAACTCTAATCAGCTCCACGCGCAACTTGTGCGACACCATTGATGATCTGGTCTCGCGCATTTTTGAGCATCACAAGGATGACGAGCAGTTGGCCGTCAAATGCGACATCCTTAAACAGAAGCTGACAATGCTCCTCGATGCACTGCAGGAGGAAGAGATTGGGGCGCACAGTGGAGACGATCTGATAGCCACCATACGCAGTCTAATTGCACGCAGTGTGCCCTCAACGAATTCCGCTCGTCCATCGTTGCTGTAAGTCGATAAAATATAATAATAATAATTAAAATAGCTTCAAACGCTCAATTCTGTTAAAAAAAAAAAATATATGTATATATTAAAATACTTCATTTTCTTATTCCACTAGCAATCCCAACATCTCGATAGAGAAAACCGAAAAGGATCATATTAACTTGAAGGAGCGACGCAGTAGCCGTTCACTGCGCTCCAGCGAGAAGGAGGCACTGCAGTGCCGAGCCAACAGCGTCAAGCGTGCCATTTACAATGTGGTGGAGCACTCGGAACCGGGTCGCCCCAAGCGCTATCAGCGCAAGCTGTCAATAACACCCTTTGAGGCGCTCAAAATACCTACAAACTCTGGTGAATCGACGCCCTGCAGCTCACCGTTGCCCATAATACCACCCATCAATATTATATCGCCAACAATGGAGACATCACGCTTGACCTGCATCTCACCGTTGCCAGATACGCGCCGCGATTCAGTTGATGAGAACTTCTTCAACAGCATCAATTTACCGGCGCCGCGACAATTTGCTGACAGTCGTCGCAGCTCTGGTGTGCCGGAGGTGATACAGGAGCTGGAGGAGGGCGCCAACGGGGAGACAATTTACCGCATTGGGCGACTCTCGCTGAGCGGCGGCGCCAACATTGACGATGCTGGCAATCGACTATCGCCAGTCAGCGATGGCGGCGATAATTCGCCCATCGATCGCAAATTGGACTTTCTACGTGTGCCGATCATCACAAGCGATTCGATTGTGGATCCACTCTCCGACTATCGACCCATTGAGGTATTCGAGCGCACCTACTATATGGCACGCGAACTAGATAAAGATAAAGATAAAGAGCGAAAGCAGGATGTGGTACTCGATGGAGAAAAGGAGGAGGATGCGGGCGTCAATGAGAAGTGCGAAGAGCAAACGTTGCATCCACAGAACACCCTGGTGCACACTTGTAACCTGCAGGTACCCGGCATTGTCGTAACCCCCCAATCCCAAAACGTTTACACAAGCGATAGCATAACAATCATTGACACCGATCAACAGTCCAACACTGTATGTAGCATTCCCCATCACTTAAGCGTAACTCAAATCATTTCCTCCCTTGCAGCTGCAGGAACAGTCATCATCGGAGGAGCTGGGATGCGATGCTAGCGATGTTCTTTCCGCCATTAGCAATGAGGAATGCAGCGTTGCTTCCGAGATATTCGATAAGGCCGAAACGGGTCATACCCTAGGCGATATTATTCAGGTAAATAAGCAATAAACAAGTAGGGCTTATTATTGAAAATATTGTTTTCAAAGAGAGGGATTTTAGATTAAATTTGAATTATACCTTTACCAGAATCTCGATGCCAGCAACTTTACGCACATTGACTCGCCGGAAACGAGCGATGAGACGGAGGCAATGCCCGGCGAGAGTTTAATGGATGACATTAGCTCTGTGCTGGGACATGATATAACCAATGCACTACAGGACAACACCATAACGGATGACACCACCACCCTCTGCTCCGAGCATATGGGTCCACCAAAGCCGCCACGCAAGAAATCGATGAGCGCGTTGAGTAAATCGCAAATACATCCGCGCAGACGAAACTCATCGCCGCCACGGATGGCTCGATTGGCACGCATGGACAGCGATGATAATCCGCAGCAGTTTGGCTTCGAGAATATTGTATTCGAGATTGATAATCGCTGTGATGATCAGAAGATGAGGGAGCCACCGCGTTACTGCAGCCTGGCCCAGTTCGTGGAAGGTAACGATATAGCGCGTCAGAGTTTCAAGGTATGTATTTGAAGCAGACTTGGCCAGCAGTAGGTAAATTGTATATAAATACATATATATAAATATATATATATATATATAGAGCTATAGCTATGTTTCGTTCATTGGAAGTGCTCAGACGTGGCCACTTATGGTAAAAAATCTTTGTTGCTCTCTGTTTGCTTCTTTCTTCAATCTTGTTTTCTATTCGTGTGCTTGCCTATAAATAAAACTAAAATATATTAAAATACCAAAAAAAAAAAAAACAAAATCAATTGACCAACTAACCAAACAAACAAAACTCCAAACACAAATCAAAAATATCAACTATCTCTAAACTAATATCCTGCTCCTGTTCCTGATCGACTCTCTAAAATGAAGCGTCCCAAAAAGCGCATCTCACTCAAGAAATTGAAAGAAACTACAACAGCAACAATCGTATCTCAACAGCAGCTAATGCTTGAATGCAATAGCAACAACAACAGCAACAACAACAGCAACAGCAATAGCAACAACAATAACCACAACGACGGCAACTCTAATGATGAGCCGGAGACGCCCACAAACACGGTCATAACTCTGGCCCATTCACAATTGACAACGACTTCGACTAGCGATGAACTGGATGAGCTATCAACGCAAACTGCTATCAAAATAGAAATACACGATGCTGATAGCAGCACAATGTGCACCACAACAGCAACAACGAAGCCACTTGAATCGGCAATGGCCTCATCGACATCGCCCACGAAGAGATCGGGCCTTGGACAAGATGTAAAGCGCATTACTTTTGATGAGTCGTGTAAGAAAGAATCCTTTGATGATGTAAATCCCAACTATCCACAGATAAGTGTTGTTGTAAGACCGCCAACGCCGTTGCGCGGCGATTCCATAAAACCGACACCGTCATCGTCATCCATACTGTCGTCGTCACTGCTCGGTGTGCGCAGCCTGAACTCCTCGGAGATCAGACGGCATTCGAGTCATGCGCCCAGCTTAGCGGTGCGCGAATATGACAAGGATAAAGATCGTCGCCATTCCGGTTTCAATCCGAATTATCTAGCATTGGATCCGGAGCATGCGCGCTTCCTCAGCAGTTCACCGGCGGCTAGTCGTAGAATTAGCTGTGGCAGCCTCTTCAAGGTAAGTTCCCCATCTCCACAATCAGTTCCTTCCCCCATTATGATATACATGACTCAAAATTGGCACTGCCTCAGCAAGTGAACAACCAATAATGTGTCAGCCGAGCAATGAGAATGCATCAAATCTAAATCAAAAATTTACTCGTACACACAAATGCGATTTTTTAGGTAATTGGTTCATTATGTTATTTATCGAAATGTTTGTCGCGATATTAAAAAAGGACTAATTATAATACGGAATCCCTTCGAACAGCTGCAACTTTTCGTTTAAGTTAACACGATTTTAATTTCAATGATTTTCGGTTTGCATTTTGTTTGATTCACATGGAAAATGACATTAGACTAAGTCCTTAAGAATCTTAAGTTCAAGCCTGCAAATCCGTCCAATTGTTTTGAAGGATAATCCAGTTTTCGAATGTTCAAAATTGTTCAGATATATATAGGTTCTAATAATGTGGTCTCAACTTATAAATATATAAACCGAATGCTTCTTTAATATTTATATCCAAATAATTCAATATTGCAATATTAATATGCGATGTTGATAAATAATATTCCATTAATATATAAATTAAATTTTGTTTATTCTTACTATTTCTTCTTAAACCTTATTCAATCAAATATGTAAATACCTAATCTTTCTTAATATTAAAACATTAACATTTTGACAGAATATTGCTGTCTGAATTTGCAGCTTGGCTTAAGAATGAAAAATAAAATATTTTTTGTGAATTAAACAATAAACTTACGTATTGCATAGAGGTTATATTATTATTTGCCATATTAAATTTTAGTTATAAAAACACAACAAAATCAACAAAAATAATACAACAAGAAATACAATATAAAAATATATATATTTATATATATGTAGACTTACTTATATATATAAATACAATATATGTATGTTTTACAAAGCACAAATCAATTGGTACGTATTTCAAAATTATGTCAACTACTTGTATGAAATTCATTTATAATTTCTCAACACTCTAAAAAGCTCTAAACACATTCCAATCATTCTATATTTAAACATATGATGTAATAATAATCACATAGTAATAAATAAATAAAAAACACACACACACACACACACACATACTCAAAAAAAAAAACATAACAAAAATAAATATTTAAATTGTCGAGGCTCTATTAAATCAATTTTTTTTAAAAGAAAAACCAAAAATATTACACTAAACGCACCTATGGACTGTTCAGAGTGCGTTTCTTTGTGGTCGCCGAACCAGATATACGGCTGGCAACTCTGGCGCTAATTAGGCCTCTAATACCGCTGGTAAGCCCGCAACCAGAGGTCGGGTCCTTCCTTCTACGTACCTACGTTCCTGCGTTCGTTCGTTCGTTCATTTGTTCGTTCGTTCATTCGTGCGATCGATGTGTATGCGTAACCCCAGCAAATGATTAACTCTCTCTATATATTATATATGCAATATCTACTCATAATATCCTCTGTATAATGTGCCAGTTGAAGTGCCAGCTTATGTTTCAATTTATGGTTCCAGCACTCGCGACATTTGGCTTTTTAATTTTTTGAATTGTGTTGTCGTCTTTAACAGTAGTGTTGCATAATACCCAAAAATGTACTCGTATAAACTATTGCTAACCAATACTAAACAATTTCCGTAACAACAGCTAAAAGAACATGCATACGTATAGCCACTGCTTAATACTAATTTATCATTTTTATTTTCAAGTAGTGCTCTTTCGCTCTCTCTCTCTCTCCTGTCTCTCTTTCTTATGCTGTTACAACCCTGCGACCGTTCTTACACAACACTGTCATACGCACACACCTCTCTCACTCACACACTCACGCAAGCCACTCACTCAGACACCCACATGTTTCTTTGTATCGTAGTTAGTGCTGACTTTCCAGTTGCTCTTTGACACAAGCTACTCTCTCCTCGATCCTAGCCCAATCTAATCGCGTCCTCTTGCTTGCAGCCGAACGAAGCTTTGCCCAATCTGCAGACGCTCAAGGGCTCCAAATCGAGCCTATTTATGGGATCCACACTCTTCGGCTTCGAGCACTTTAGCGATAAGGAGGAAAGACAGGGCAAGGATAAAGAGAGGACACCTCCAGAAGAGACCAGTCGCAAGATGCCCATTATCAATCCCATTGTTCGCTTGCCCAATTGGCCAAGTAAGTAGAGCTATTAAATAGTTTGCCATTGCAAAACTTCACTTTCGCACTTCCATTATCCTGTTCAGATCTGGCCAATGGCACTGGCTTCATATCGAAATGTCTGCTCGCCAATGCGGACACCTTATGCGCTGCTGTAAGCCCCCTGATGGACCCAGATGAAACACTCCTGGCTGGCTACCACGAAAAATGTGTGATGAACAACTACTTTGGTATTGGCATCGATGCTAAAATCTCGCTGGACTTTCACAACAAGCGGGAGGAGCATCCGGAAAAGTGTCGTTCCCGAGCGAGGAACTACATGTGGTATGGAGTGCTCGGCTCCAAGCAGTTGTTGCAGAAGACCTGCAAGAATCTGGAGCAGCGTGTGCAGCTGGAGTGCGATGGTCAGCGCATACCGTTACCCGAATTACAGGGTATTGTCATCTTGAACATACCCAGCTTTATGGGCGGCACCAATTTCTGGGGCAGCAGCACGAAGAAGGATGATATCTTCCTGCCGCCCAGCTTCGATGATCGCGTGCTGGAGGTGGTCGCCGTTTTTGGATCCGTGCAAATGGCTGCGTCACGTTTAATCAATCTACAGCATCATCGCATTGCCCAGTGTCAGAGCGTACAGATTAATATACTGGGCGACGAGGAGATACCCATTCAGGTCGATGGCGAAGCCTGGCTACAGCCACCAGGCATGATACGCATCCTTCACAAGAATCGTGTACAGATGCTATGTCGCAATCGCAGCCTGGAGGTATCGCTGAAGAGCTGGCAGGAGAAGCAACGCCAACATAGCATTTCCATACAGCGCGACGCCTCCTCGACAGCCTCCGAGCATGCCGTCTCCACGGACGACGTCATATCGGAGCGGGAGTGCTATGTACTGCTCAATTTCATCGAGGCCGTCAGTTCGCTTGTGAAGTGGGTCAAATTCCTGATCATCTCGCATCCGGCACTGCAGCATGATCTTTACGAGGTGGCCTGTCGCGCCAGCGAGGCCTTGGAGTCCATACATCCGCAGGGCAAGCTACTCGAGGGTCCCTCCCTGCGCACCAAATTGGTGGAAGTCATTGATTCGTCACGTCAACTGTACGATGATGCCTGCACCCTGTTGCGAGATCGTGGACACAGCTTGATACTACGCGAGGATCTGGAGACCAAGCTAAGCGCTGCGCTGGCCAACATGGAAATGGAGCTGAAGAAGTGCTCTGTGCAGAAATGCATTGATGGCAAACTGCGCGCTTACTTTAATGTTCTGGCCCCCAATGAGGAGGTAAGCAAAATACAAAAAAATTACTCATATTTAATAATTGCTAGGAGCATAACACGACTCCTGGTAAGTAGTTAGTGAACAAATACATGATTAAGTAGTCTGATTATGAAAACATAATACCCTCTGTAGAATTATAATTTTAGCATATATTTATCATTCCACAGTCCGATGGTCGTCGTAAGTCACGTCCGTTTTGGGTACGATTGCGATCCGGTTCCACTGCCGGTCAACAGCAGTTTAAGCCACCGATGACGAACACACGGGAAGCTGCCAACAACTGGAGCGTCAATGAGGTGGTTACCTGGCTGGAAACTATGCAATTATCGGAATATGTTGATAGCTTCCTTAAGAACGATATTCGCGGCAAAGAGCTGCTCACCCTGGGACGACGCGATCTCAAGGATTTGGGCGTGGTAAAAGTGGGTCATGTGAAGCGCATACTGCAAGCCATTAAGGATCTTAGCGAGAATTAAGCAATTTGCAATTGGTTCCTCACAATTAACAATCGGCTAGTACAAACTAAAAAGGTAGTCTTCGAAAATATCTACTCAGAGAGGCGTTTTCTGTGCTTGGTTTAGGATATGTGGGCGTGGCTGTTTAGTGTATTAAGCGAGCTATTAGCATGTTAATACTATATATGGGATAAATGCATACAACAATCACTATTTATAGACTAGCTTAGCTAGAAGTTGAAAACCAAATCTATAATGTAAAAACCACAAACGAAACAAATATTTATGTATCTGTTTTCACAACTAAACAAAACATACTCTATACATACTATACTAACTTATTTTTTCAACAACATATATATGTATATATACATGCACACATATGTATATATCCCAATTCTGTTCCTTTTCCGTTCTAGTCACTTAAGCGAACTGAATTTAATTTTTGGATATGTACTTATATACATTACATACATACAGGCGGGATGCATGTAAAAAATTAATTTAATTGGCAGTTAAACGAATTTAAATGTAGTGGCACATGCAACAACTAATTTACAAAAACAAAAAGAAATTAGTTTTTAGGTACAGTTTGAAATTCAATTTACGCTTAGCAAAACGGAAACCACATACAAATACCCCAATCAAAAAAAAAAAAAAAATCAAAGAACATCTAAAGATTATTCTAAATTGATAAGCAATTTCAATTTTACAATTGTAAAACCTAAAAGACAAGCATATATACATATAAACCAACAAAAAAAAAAAAGCATAAACTTGGCATATTATTAATTATAGTTAATCGCAACTAAACTTAAATGTTTACCTGCCCCCAACCCCCCACTTTAGTAACCAAGCAAATATTATAAGTAACAAAGAAAAGTCTGTTAACTGTGTCATTTTATTGTGTATAATCAAAAAAAGAAATGCAACTCTTAACTGGTTTATTTAAATTAATTTTAATTTAGCTCTTAAGCTTAAATTTAAGCATAAGGGTATAATTTGGTGCGGGGCGCCGGCGCCCTATTTATTTAGTACATTTGGTACTTCAAAAAAAAACTTAGCTAGCATGGAGCACAGTGTCTTGTGCTTAAGACCTTTTTGGAATACCTTTTAATTGTTTACTAAACCGGTAACAACTTTTGTCTTAGCTGATATGTTTAAGAAATTGTGCTACATTTTGATAGTTACCTATTTTCAATTAGCAAGTGTATTTATACGACTACATAGCATATACACATATATATATGTATATATAAATATATATATAAATAGCTGCATATATGTAAATGTGTTGTTGTGTAAGGACCACTCCAAACATTAAAATATCCAACCCATATATACATACATATATATTTACTTGCGTTACTTTCAAAATGTTTGCTCAATCTGTCTCCAAGTTGAGTGAGTTTTGACAAGTCACATTAAGAAAGGAAATGTGTATGAAATATACATATATAACAAATCTCTTGAGCGACGTCTATATATTATATTTTTGGATATTCAAGTATAAATGAGCCCAGACCAACTCGATTGATTTGTTGTACTACTTACTTATTATACCACAAATTTCCATTTATTTATGTAGCACATCCCCAAAGTTTGACACATATTTGTGAAACTATTTACGCTTACAAATAACCTTTGTGTAACAAGGAAAAATCCACTTAAGAATTAGATAAGCATAACTCATACAAATAATATTATAACATTTGTTTACACTGCATAAAAAAATATCAATCAAACTAAACACAAAACTAACCCAAAAACAATTTAGACATTTTTTCGATATATGTATTTTCGAGAGACCTTTAAAAACAATTTGAGTAATTGGAAATTTTAAAAACATTCATTTTGTGTTCAGTTAAAAAGAAGTTAACAATTTGATATAGATTTTCCTTATTGTATACATTCCAGCATACAAAATTATCCTTATGCATTTTAATTTCTTTTCAACAATACTGTGATAACAGCTTTCTTCAAAAAAAAAAAAAAAATAAACTCTCCCTCAAAACTAAATTTAATATAACTAAAATAAAATGAAACAAATAACTTCAAAGTTTTTAAGAACGCATAACATATGAAAAATGAAAAGAACCTAATATTAAATTCATGTTGATAGCAATCAATTATAAAACCTGCTCCTGACAAATTCCGGTTATTCTCAAATTATGCAAAACCCCAAAGATCCCAATAAACTGCATGTAATGTCTAACAATTTTTTTTTATCTAAGACTTATGAACTTAAACGAAAATGTTAACTGACACAATCCACTAACCTTTTACCCAAATATAATATGCAAATTATAATAGACAAACATTCTCTTGATTGTAATAATAGCAGAAACAATAAAAACAAAACACAAAACAAAATTTGAATGTATTATTTTCAATGGTATTCGAAGGTAAGAAATTCCCGCACAGTTATCTGAAATGAATAGCCATGGAACATTGTTTAAAACGTTTATATGCATTTTTCATTTATTTGACTCATACAATTGTTTTAATTTTATTTTTTAACCATCACTTGTTTTGTTTTACTTTTATAAGTTTTTGTTACACTTTATGTAGGTATTTTTGTTAAAGTTGGTACATACGGATGTCCTTTTATAGGTTATCATTTTAAATCTTTGCATTTTCAAGGCTATTTGGTGTGCCTTAGTTCTTAGGTATGACAATTGGGCAAAATTATTGATTAGTTTTAAAGTAGTTTTCTTTAGATATTTCTTGCGTTTTTTGTTGGTGTTGTTCTTTTATTATTTTAAAATGCGGGCGCATTTAGGCGTGAAAGTTAAAATTTAAAATTTTTGTCTGTTTAGTAAAACAAAATGTGTAAATTTTTGAAATATTATGAATTGCAAATGCTTGAGCCACGCTGAATTTCACACCAATCAGATCGTACTGTATGTAGTATATTTTTTCGATTTATTTGTATACATTTCATGTTGAAAACAAGCTAGAATATATATATCAAGTTTGTTCTTAAGTGGATTCATATTAAAGTTGCCTAGAATTTGTTAAGTACGATAGTTAAAACTATATGAGTTCTTAATGTTGTTTTTATCAAACTTTAACTGTAAAGAGACTTTTGAAAGTTCTGAGTGTGTATGTGTGTGCTTTACCTGTTGTTGGGGCTTACTCCAGTTTCACCAAGGTTTTATTTAGTTAAGATTTTGCTTTTTATCGTGTCTAACTAATGCATTTTGGAGTATGGTGTTTTTTTTTTTTTTTTTTTTTTGTGGAATACATATATGAAAGCTCATAGATTGCGCATAATAAACAATTGTTTGTTGAGTTTTATGTTTTGGGGGGGCATTGGATAACATGGGGTTCTTAACTGTGGAGTTTTTAACTTCAAGACTTTCAACTCAACATTTTCAACTAACAGACAAGCCATTTAATGAAAAACATATAAAAATATTTTAACTGCTTTATAAATACCACTGAAGCTTTGTTTTTGTTTACTTTTTTTAATTTTGTTGTTTTTCTTATGTATTCATGTATGTATTTGTAATAAAAATATGTATATGCAAGCAACAATTAAGCTCAATACTGAAGTTAATCACAAACTTATGGGTAGTGAAAATTTAACTTCAGTTACTTATTAAATACTATATATTAAGCAATACATTTTTTAAAATTATATAGACGAAATAAACTTAATTTTTGAACCTAAGATTCCATTGTAAGAATATTGCAAATTGTTTGTAGAACTTAAATATGTTTTGTTTTGTACTCAGAAATAATATTAGCAAAAAAAAACATCTTAATCAGTTTTGCTTTCGGAGAAGCCTTTTATTTTAGTATGCAAACATTTTTAGTTTCGCTGAAAATTCTAATATTCCCATATTGTGTAGGACTATTATATAATGCCATATAAGTATTATAAATGTATGTCGCAAAAGTAGTTTCACAGTTCCTTATATCTGAACGCTTCACAAAATGGTAAACGTATCTCAATTATCGTATAACATTTCGCATTTTGTGTTTTACAGTACATTTGTGTTTGTGTGTGTGTGTATTGGATTGTATCTGTGGGAGTGTGTGTGTGCTATAACCATCATTTCCAAAAATGTACTTAAAATACCATTAATATCATTTTCATTTGTTGTATATGTAGTTCATGTGCAAAATCTATTTTCAAGTTTGTATTCTATTTGCCGGATCAGCTTAGATCACCCTATGCATTACCCATTATACTCAGCTTAAGTATTTGCCATTGGATTTTTCCAGTGTTATTCTCGCTTAATGAAAATTACAAAAATTGTTGGTGTTTTCCTAAAACACCGTTTTTAATGTTGTTCACTTTTTTTGGACGGGTCTCTGCGGTGATTTTGTCCTTGCTTTATGTTATTATAAGATTTTTTCCTTGAAATATTTTCAATATATATTTTTTGTTTGGAACAGCTTGTGTGCTTTTGCGAAATTCTTGTTTGTTTGTTTTTTCATTTGGGGATTAGGCAGTGAAAGTAAGTGATTTTACTTTGCTCTTCAAAATGCACGTGCAGCGCTGGAAATTAAATAAATGGCAGAATACGAATGATTTCCTTCACTAATATTTATTCTCTAAGTTAAATTCAGCTGAAATCCTAGTACTCCTAATGGAAACATTTACGTATGCGTAGTCTCGCTTTGACAATAAATTAAATATTAATTTGGGATAATTAAATATATTCATTGGGATTTTTCATGTGTTTAAGCATAGACGGGAGATGAGCATAGTTAGCGGTAGAGGTTAGTCCTACAAAACTATCGATGGTTCGATGGCTCTCTGGCTGTCAGCGATGTTTTTTTTTTTTGCTGCTGTTAATTTTTAGCCTTCGATTAAATCAAATAATTAAATGCAAAACTAGTTATTTATATTATCGACTATTGAGGGGCTTAAATGTCGATAGTTCTGCAGTACTGAAGGAGATTTAGAGTTTGTAGAGTTTGTTTGAGTATGTGGTTTCTGCATGATTGAGGCGGCATTCGTGTCATTATTGGAACGCACTTTGGTTAATTGAATTTTGTTAATTGCTTTTTGCCAAATACATTTTGCACTTGAAACACGCTCACACAATTGCTTAAACACTCTCCTCTTTGGTGGCGGTGCTGGTGCTGCTGCCCCAAAAGCGATCGAAACGGTCACGTGCCTTCTCCAGCACATCGGCAGCGGCGGAACGTGCCGTCGACGCCGTTGCTGTCGATGAGGATGATGAGATGCCCGGCTCCGGCTTGGCGCTCGTATCGCAGCGGACTGCGACGCCCGGTTGGGTGGGCGTCAGCGTTTTGCCATAGGCAGCAGCGCTGGTTGTTGGGCTGCCGCTGGACTTCCAGGCTGTGTGTGTTTCAGTGGATGGCAGTGGAGGGGGGAAATAGTTGTGGAAATAGTGTTTTGTAATGTTACGCAAAGGAACTACGTATTGATACGCTATGTGGAATTACGCATTTTGGCTTAGCAATTTTTTATTTTGTTTTTTTGTTTTTTTTTTTTGTGTTTTATTTATTGCGAAATATTGGCTTAATACTGAGAGAGGGAAAAGTTGTTTTGCATTATATTTACGCTTAGTTTTGAGATTGGCATTTGGCTGGTGTTGCGATTTGGTATTTTGACGATTGCTTAACGATGATTTGATTTTTGGTTGGATTTTGGTTGGATGATGGTTGTGAGTAGCGATACATACATATACATATACAGATACATATATTTAAATACGTGTTAATATAGAAATATTTGTAAAAGCGATTTTTTTGGTTTTTTCTTGTGTGTTCATTTTTTGTTTACTTATGTCGACTTCATATTTTGTTTTATTTGTTTGGATTTTATGGAAGTTGCGTTTATTGAAGCGTGCTTATAGGCTTACCGTCCATTTTAGCCTGTTCGGTTAGTTGCGGCGGTGCCGATTGTGGTGGCGGTGGTGGCTTTTCCACCGGTGTCGACGCTTTTATCTCGCTCTGAGGTCGGCTGTAGTTCTCGCCTACAAAAAATGTGTACAGACACAGGCATTGATTAAAAGGAGACTTTTGGAATATATTTTAAACTGGACTTTACCCTCTTTGACATTTTGTGTTACAGTGAATGTCTTGCCAGTGTCCAAGGGTACCGTCCAGTTGACTGGATCGGGAGAGCGCATTATAATCTGCTCGGGCGACTTAACCCTTGTGGGCTCCGGGGGCGATTTAACCAATGGCTCATCGGGCACCTCGGGCACTGGCTGTGGACTGCAGCTAGAAATCGAAATAGCTGTTTCACGGCCATCTTCACCCTCGTCTGTTGGCGTTGCAAAAAAATTATAAAAAACATGTAACAAAATTGTTTATTTCATTTAATATTGATATTGATATTGATCAAAACATTTTCAAAACACGCATTACATGTTCGTTTAATTTAATGCTGCTGCAGCTGTTGAGTTGGTTTGGTTTTGTTTCGTTTTTATTTCGTTAAGCAAACTTTGTGATCGAGTTTATATAGGTTAGTAGTTGTAACTTAAAATCGAAATGTATATTTGAAACGTTTGCTGTTTTCTTAAACATAAAATTATAACTTAGTTTTAACTTAAGCTTAATGGAACTTAGTGAAATGAAGCTTTGTATTAAGCATAAAGCTTAAAAGGCAACCAAATTCGTTAGTAAAAATTGAATTCAAATTATAATTTTTGCTTTGGTTTTTTATTTTTATTTTATTTTTTTTGTTATAAAGCGCACAAGAGGAATAAAGAACATGCCACATTCAAGAGACATATAACACAGAAAGGCGGCAACAAGTACAATCAAATGCTTATACAATAAAGTAACTACTTGAAGTATGCATAAAAATGATGAGCAAAACAGTTTTGAGTTGAAAAATAAACTTAGTTTAGAATGTTTCTGATTTGGCATGGAATGGCATAATGTAAATGTGAAACAGGCAACGACGACAGCTTTGTAAATGGTGTAGAAAGTCGGTAGTTAACAACTCCTGCATGTTCTCCAAGTCTTTTTCTTTATATTAATATTATTTTCATGTTTAATGTAAAAATATTGTTAAAACGCTGTATTGCAAATTACCTGAACATTTTTTGGACTAACACAAATATCCCACCACAATTTATTTTGTCATGTAAGAAAAATGCTTTGTGATTTGATTTTTGTTTAAATTATAAAAAAAAAAATAAACAGGCTAAAAATATGTACATTTATTAAACCCATTTTTCTGTTATGAACTCTAAGTGTAAATGGAGAAAATGAAAAATAATTTCTTAAATTTATTAGCTCTACTAATCTGTGGGTTTCCACTTTTAAACGTGCATACGTAGCCTCAATTATGTGGAGTGTTTTGCTGTAAATTTATATTTAAAAAACAATAGTTCTAATTTGATAAAGGACACTAGACAGGCCGACTATTTAAGAAACTATATAAATATATATAGCACACATATAGCAGAGTAGTAAGTAAAAACTAGAACAGTTGTGTTAAAAATAAATTATATTCATTTACTACAAATGATATGAGACAGAGATGAAAACGATACTTGGGCTGACTTAGACATACGGCTGAAAGACAACATGTACAAACATTGATTACAACAACAACTAACATTTAGTAACACGTAACGCTTTTGGGTAAACAACTTTGCAACAAATACTAGAATTTTGAATTTGGTTTACTTCGACAACCCTGTGGAATAACGAGACACAAACACAATTTGAACAATACACCAGAGCTATGCCAATCTTAATAAATAGAAAAATACAATTTTCTTTTTCCAATCAACTAAGATACACACACACACACACATGATTCCACATGGCTGATATAAAAAAAAAAGGAGAAAATGATTGGTGCCGCCCAATTTCAATATGCGAATTCGTAAATCATAATCATAATTTCATTACTCAACACTAGTTCGTGTACAACACAGTTTTTGACAAGGTGTAAAAAGATCAATTAGTTAGTATTAATTGGTATTTGATTTCTTTTTTTTTTTTTTTGGTTTTGTTTACAAAAGTTGCAACACAAACATTTCGCGCATCAGATGTCATTTTACAGCATTTCCATTTTAGATAAGAGATTTTAAGGGTGTATCATATTGTTTTTTATTGCAGAGAATTTTTGGTTTTTTTTTTTGTTCAAGTTTTGCGGACAAACTCTACTCACTTTCAGCCAATTTTCTATCCTGACCTGGTACCGTTAGCCGTTTGATGTTGATGGTGACAGGTCTGGTGGGTGCCGCTGTTGTTGTTGCTGTTGTTGTTGCTGTTGGAACCGATGTTGTTGTTGTTGTTGTTGTTGCCGATGTTGCTGCCTTGTCAGTTGTTGCTGTTGCTGTTGCTGCAACATCTTGCAATGGTTGCTGCTTCTGTTTCTGTTGCTGTTGTAGCTGTTGTTGTTTTTGTTTGTTTTGTTGATGCTTCGCACTATTTGCACTACTACCGCTACCAGCACCAACTTGACTACCATTACCAATGCAACTAATATTCGATCTATCTTTATCTTTCTTACGCATTTGCTGCTGTTGCTGCTTTTGTTGTTGTTGCTGCTGTTGCTGTTGCGCTGTTGCTGCAGATGATTTGCTGTTTATTTTGTTGGAGCTCTTGCATTGTGATAAATGTGATTGATTAGCATGATTAGCATAGGATGTAGCTGCTGCACGGCCGGCTGTTGCTGATGATGTTGCTGTTGCGGTTGCTGTGGCTGTTGCTGCTGTTGGCGCTGCGGCTACTTTACCGTTAGGCGGTGGTAGGGAACTACTTTTAATGCGGGATTGGAATGTTGTGGATAAGGTAGCTATAAAAACGTAAGCAGTTTTTTTTTTTTTGTTTTGTTTTTGATTTGGTTTTGTTTTTGTTTTTGCGACGAGTTTGATTTTTTGTTGTCATATTTTTGTTTTTAGACCAAAAACAAAAGGCACATGGAAAAACAAATTTGAATATGAATTTTTGTTTTAAATATATTATTTTCATTTCTTTCTTTTTATTAACGGCGAATTAAAAATGCAACGCAAATAAAGGCAAAACAAAAAATTGAAGTTCATAAAATATATTAATTAAATTAAATAACGCACGCTTGATTTTGGCGTCGATTTAAAAATCTTTTCGTTAGATCATGTTGAGAGGTACCAAAATGGGTTAGTCTACTTAGCAAAAGCTACCATTCAGAATTTGTATGTTAGTTAACAAAAAATATAGAAAACACAATGATTTAACTTAAGATACCTTACGTGTCAATTGAAAAATGTGTGCCCTGAAATTTTCAAATCGTAATTTATGTTTTCTCAGGAATGGCAAGAATTTGTATTATTCAATTTTTAGCTAACCGTTGGATGCTTAAGAAAATGTTGTTTTTATTTTTTATTTACAAATCTTGTGGCCTCTCAAAGGTTTACTCTTATTTTTTATTTTTGTGTAGAAATAGCTCAACGTAATAATATCATTGCAGAGAATAGAATAATATGTCATATTCATGGCTTATCCTTTTTTATTTCGCTTTTGCTGCTGGCTTGATATTTATTGTACCCTTACACTAAGTATACAATACATGTATTATTGTATTGTGTTCTTAGTGCCACAAGTTGACAATTTAAGATTTTTAATCATCTAGTCTGCAAAGGTATTTAAACTTTGGCGTGCCAAAGACGGTTTTTGTTTCTTTCGCTTTGAGATTATTCAATTAATTTATGATCAAAATATGGTACACATTATACATTATTTCCACATACATCAAAGCCAACAACAACACATTGTTATTAGTACACACAAGCGTATGGCATAGTTGGAAATAAATGTATTATATATGGGGTAGAGTCACAACACGCACAACTTAATGAATATATTTTTGGGTATTCTTAAACACCGTATTTCGTTAGTATTACATACTTACAATTTTGTGTTAGTAGTTGATTATGGTTTTAGTATGGATTGGTATTGGATGGTATTTAATGTTATAATTATTTTGTTCACTCAACATGCTAAACTATAGAATGTTTATTCGAATGACCAATCCAACGCTTCATTACAGAACAATAAATAAATTTTGAAATTAAGGAATACGATTGAAATGAAAATGAAATTTGAAAACTAAACCGCATGACCATAGACTAAACTAACAGAGATTTATGAACGTACTTTAGACGTATTTTTTTTTAGCTATTATTTGTTTGGTTTTTAGACACTTAACTATGTAAATTTCCAGTTGAAGTAAGTTTCGAAATGAACGTACAAACTTGCGGTGTGTGGATAAATACTAAAAACTATAGTTGATAAGTAAAATTATTGCAAATTAACCGAATAACGAAATGAAAACCAATCTAATCTTAACTAATGATATATGCAAACTAGGATTAAATTAATTCAAATAAGAAATAATTCAAACAAAACACAAGGCAATGAACTAAAGTACGAAAAATTCGTGCGTTTAAAATTTATATATATATATATATATATATATATATATATATATTTTGGTTTTTTTCTTTTTTTTTGTGGGTGGTTCTGCGCAACGTTTAGCTACTTACATGGGCGTGGCTTACGTTCAGTTCCGGCCGATGTCGTCGGTGGCCTTTTACGGCTGGCGGGTGCTTGACTCGCCGAGCGTATCTGACGCTTGGGTGACTCATTCTCAGCGACGCCAGGACCCACAGATTGTGAGCGTGCTGAACCACGCAATACGAAGGTGAAGAGATGTGGTTTTGATTTTTGAGACGGTTTTTGGTTTTGTTTTCAGTTTTCGATTGGTTTGATGATAAAAGTACGAGTTGTATGTTTTAATTTCGCATTGAAATACACTTCTTAAGTATGAATGAATGTGTGAATTATGCATTTCTACAAGTGTTTTTTATAAATCACTACAAATTATAGTTGTTGTTATGAATACGACTCTACCTAGCTTTTGATTGACAATCACTCAATTCACGCATCAATATCATCTTAAAAAGCCACGATTAAAAGTGAATTAGACCTAAGCTCAAATTAATTTTGTGATATGTAAATTTCTATTTTTAATAGTTAGTTTAAGAGCAGAATCATTAGATTTCTATATTCTAGATTTTTAGTTCTTTAATTGCCCCTATATTTAAGTTCTTGATTATTCCTAGAATGCTTTCAATTAGTTAATTATGTTGTTAAGAATTATATTATTTTTATATCAATTATTTTTAATTTTTTTTTAATTTTTTAATTTAGTATTTAAATTCCCTCTGTGAATCACCTAGATCCTAATAGTTTTTATGCTTATGTTTTGTTATATTACAATTTACCTTAACCGTAAGAATACTCTCCATAGCATAGACTTTTATATATAAGTATATATATATATGTAGACATTCTATACAAAATCGTATGCATATTTTCAAAATAAATATGCAAAAAACAAACTCTTTCATATAAAGAAAATCTTAGTGAAGGCAAGCTACACTTAAAAAAAAAAATATGTGCACAAATCACATAATCAAAACATTTATTTAGTGCACTTGAAAGTATATTGAAAATTCTTTGTAAGAAAAATTTCCAACGCTTAAGTAGAATGCAAAGCAAATCTTAAAAGCAGTTAAGCAAAAGATTTTGTGTGGAAAATTAAAGAAATAAGTTGAAAGAAAAAGTTTAACGGGTGTATACTTATTGTTTTGACGTATAAAATTGTGACCTGCATCGCTTAGTAAATATTAGAAAGTGCTTGTGTAACTATGTATTAATTGTTGCTTAGAAATAGATTTCTATTAAAATGTTATATGTGTAGTTGTCTTGCTAGTCAGTCAGTGTTTCAAATAAATACAAAGGACCGAAATTGGCAACTACTCACATTTGAGGACCTTTTTGGGGCTGCCCTTCTGGGGGCTGCCCTTCTGAGGCGAACCGTGACGCGAAAGTGCCGTCTTCTTGGGACTTCCACGCTGAGATTCGGATTCACGTTTAGTGATGGCAGGCATCAGTTTCTCCCGCGTGGGTGATGGCAGCAGAGCGCCCTCCTCAACATCTGCTAAATAAATCGAATTTTGAATTAGGGAACTGCAGCTAAAAAACTAGAGTTGGGCGCTTGTCACTCAAAGGCGACTCATAACAATATTATGAAAAGTGCTAGGTAATCGTAACCCTTTGAGTACCTTTTGAGTAGTCGTACAATTATGAGTGGTACTCGAAGGTGCACTGTTCGAATAATACATGCGTCCAACTCTAGTTATTATCATCAGAGCTTACCCGGACCCGTGGTGCGCTCCAAGTGATGGCGTATGTTGCTAAAACGTGCTGGCAGTGCTGAAATCTCATCCTTATTATCAATCGAATAGGCTTGGCCAGGAACTCGTGGCTTTTGTGACTGTGGCGTTTTTTGCAATGGCGTTGATTTTTTATTGTTCTCTTGCTCCTTCTCCTCCTTGGTGATAGGCCTGCATAAAGCTTAAATCAATTAAAATATATGCAATCATAGTAAACTGTCTGAATGACTTCACCTGTGCACAGTGGATGCTAAGGACAGTGCTGATAGCGAGCTGCGCTTGGATACCTGATCCCATAAATCTTTCTGCTTCTTATACAATTCCGGATCGATTTCTATGCCCCAGCCGCGACACTATAAACAAAATTATGAAATATTTATATTTAAAAAACAGAGGGTTATGTCATAGACTAACTAACCTTATATTCGCCAGCCTTCTTGCGCAGCTCGACCATCTCCTTGAACCACAAATCCAAATTCGGTTTCGAATGCGGCGGTGCGCTGCCATTCATGACAACCAGCTGACCCTGGTCGGGTGCAGCTGCCACCTGCTGTTTATTATCATCCTTGGCAGCTGATGCGGCAAAGCCAAAGTTCTCCTTTTTCGTTATGAAGTGATTGAGACGCTCCTGATCTATTGCTTGCGAAAACGGACGTGTGGTAATTTTGCGCTCCACAAAATTCACTTGTCTGCATAAAGACATATTTCAAATCAGAACACATATTTAAGGGCAGAAAAAAAAGTGGTATAATATGAAGATGAATGTTCGTGACAAGTGCGACACGTTTTGCAAGTGGGTTATTTTTTGCATGGATGGAAAATGGGTGGGTCTATGATGATTGCCGTTGCTTTTGGGTGGTTGGTGGTGTTGGTTGGTTGGTGGCATCTCTGGTATGGTTGAAGCTCATGAGCATATGAGAGATATTGATATTGAGAATTTATTAAAAATGTATGTATTTTATTAAATTGTTATCATACTTCTCATGTGTTTTTCTATCATCCGTATCGCTAACCAATGGCTCCAGCTCATGCAGAGTAGCTGAAAGCACACAGATAAAAGATTTAAACAACTCTGTACGATCTAAAATCAAACGCAATTCAATTGTTCTTTGCTGACTTTCATCATTTACATAAAGATAAGAAAAAATAAATAAATATACGAGTAATTGAGTATTAATTTGCTTCAAGTGTTAACTAAAGGACCAAAGGTATTGATAGGATAACAAAAATATACGTTTAAGTTTTGCAAAAGTATTTCGAATTATCCTCAAAACAATTTCAACTGAGAACTGGGTGAGTCTTTGTACAGCAAATTAAATGAGCAGAAGAAGGCGCTAAGTTCGTGGTGGTTTGGTGGGTGATTGTAATTTTTTTAGTTGTGGTTAGTGGTGTTTCTGGCTAATCTGGCGCAAAATTCAGAGTTCTCAACAACTGAAAAAAAACAATAAATAGCAGCATTTATATTATTTGATAAACTAAAGTAACAAAATATTTGTATTCAATTTGTTTGCATGTTTTGAAGCGTGTTCAGTGTTTTGGGTTATGTGGGGGGCTGGGGTCACTTTTTGGAATATAGAACGAAATTCGAACCAATTTTTTTGAATATACATACAAAAATATAAACAGTTCAAGTTCAATGCAGCGCAGTGTTATTATATTTTATTTAAATTTTGTTTATATTTATATTTGTGTTTTTTTTTTCTTGTATTTTGAAGCACTACTGCCAATTGTTTTCAGGCTGCACTAAAAAAAAGCTTCTCAAGCTCGAGGCTTAAAGACAAGACTTAAAAGCTTTGCAACGGAAGCCACTTTTTCAATTTGCACTTGCATTTTATATGATATACATATATATATTAGCTATATAGATTATGTAAATTTTTTATATGAGTATACATTTCGATTTTGGGCTTACGTTTTTGTTTTGTCTTACCTAGGATCTTGGTCTTAACTGTAAATTTGTGTTATGTAAAATGTATCTGTGTTTTTTATATTGAAATTTAATTTTGATATACATATATGAAATGATAATATAATACATATATTTTTTATTAATCTTGAATTAGGCTCTTTCTATTTTTAACACACGATTCTATATCTTATTTCCAATATTAGAAAAGAATAATATCAAAAAATGATCATGACGATTTTCCGATACCCTGTCAGTCAAAAGATTAAAGCTCTGTTAAAAGCACTATTTTATCAGCTGTGACCGATTGGTCCATCTTGAATATATTAAAATAATTTGAATTCTCTTTATAACGCAAGCTCTCTTAGCAATTTTTAAATAGTTTTTTTAGCTAACTGAGTACAGTACAGTACCTTGTTATGTACGATAAATGCTGATATAATGATGTTGAATAATGCATGATGCTAATTCCATTTGGTCGTTTCACGCATGCAACTAAAGCCAACAAAACTCCTACGCTTGTACCAAATAGAAAAAAATAAATGGAAAAATAAATACATTTTGTATAAAACATAAAAAACAAAAAAACAATGTCACACAACCTGCGACCGCATGCTCCAACTACACTTAGCTAATTCATCACTTGCGTAAAATTGCATTGATACGTGTTACAGAGGCATATTTTTTGGGGCTGCCATTGCCATTGACATTGGCGTTCTTATTTTTATGGTCAGCCAAAGCAATTTAGTTTTTCTTTCATTAAATTAAGTATCATCAATGGATCAATGGAATTTTACGATTAGCATCAACGTAAACGAATATGTCAGGTAATTTACCGTGTAGTTCTTGTTGTTGTTGTTTTTTTATTTTTATTATTTAGCACTAAGAAAAATGAATTTAGTTCAACACTTACGTCAGCTTTTGGCTATAAAGATATTCTTGTGTGTGTGTATTTCTTTTAGGAAGGAATTTAGCATAATTTCGTTCTATATGAAATAGATATTAAGACTTCCAAAGAGAGAGAGAGAGAGAGTAAAGATTGCTAACTGCTTGAAAACAAATAATTATTATTTATAAAAGCCATAAATAAAAATATTGCCTTAAGAAATTAAAAATAAATGTGTGTACCTATTTAAATTTTTTGACTAAAATTAATAAAATATATTGTGTTCAAAAATTATGTTTATATCAAGGGTGACTTAAGCTTAAAAATTCAGTCGCAAATGCGATATATATTTATATATATATATATTTATATATTTATTAATATAGGTTCGAAAGTTGAATTTAATGTACATCTAATGAGATTATTGGATGAAAAGCAAAAATTTACGACGACCAGTACATAAAAAACTTGATAATCGCTTTTTGTTAACATTTTTGCAAATAGTTAGCTTTTTTGGCAGTGTTGTGAAAAGAAATGTTTTGACTACTTGTAATTTACCAACACTATTCAACGCATCAAAATATTAGGCATGAAATTAGTATTAAGATTAATTTTATTTGTTTTTGGAAAATTGAGCTCAATGCTGCTGCCACTGCGCAAATTTCATTTTAAAAGTAATTAAATGAAAATATATTGAGTTCTTCAAAAAAAACTGCGCGCTCAACAATTACTTTTCAATAAAGGTTAGTTAATTAAAATGATTTGAATATATTAATTATTGTTATTTAAGAATTAGTACTTAGTAAAAAACTCAAATATAAATTATTTGTTTTAGTACGCTTTTTGCTGTTTTTAGTAAGTACATACATATACGAGATATTGAAAGAAACTATGCGCTAATAGGATATTTATGTTGTTGTTGTTGTTTTTTTTTTTTTTTCTTTTAGTATAAGTATGTATGTAAATGCTTAGCGACGACATATTGCTGTCGCACCTTCTTTCTGATTTGTTGTACGTTTTTTATGCACCGTTGGCAAGCCGGCACCTATCGTTTGATATTGATGTGTGTGACTGTGCTGCGGCTGGCCCGGCTGGCCGGAACGGATCGCGCCCAATGATATTGACTTTCTTGGGTAATCGCCGGCCGCCGCCCTCGCCGTCGTCGATACGTTTGAATCGGCGCCCTTAATGCGTCGGACATTGGGCCAAACGAATTGCAGGCGATACTCAGTGCTCAATTTTGTGATGGTCTTTTTCAATAGGCCATTTGACTCACCCGCCTGCGAAAGAGAAGAGCAGAATCACAAGAGACGAGAAGACCAAACAAACAAATGAGAGAGACACAAAAAAATGGAAGAGAAAACGAGAGAAAAAGAGAGAGCAATTGCAATGACGCATTGAGTGTTTTTTTTATTAAGTTACAATTGAATTTAATTGTTTAATTGTTAGCATTAGCATTTAATTAGTTGTAGATAGGTATGCGTTAGTTATGTTTAATTATGGGGGACGATCAGAGCACAGTTAACATAAAGAAAAATACAAAGAAAGAGAACGTGTTAGTTAAAGAGAAGAGAGAGAGAGAGAGAGAGGAGAGAGAGAGAGAGAGAGAGAGCGAGAAAGGAAGAGAGAAAGAGAGAGAAAAATACACATAGTACAAGTATAATTTGTAAATTTTTACATATAATTCTAATGAGTTCTAAATACTCAATACTTAAACTTAACATACAAAATTTAAGGAAAGTATTATATTTACACAAACAAAATAAAATGCATATACATACAAAAAAAATTAGAAAAATCAATCCTTAGCTTTAATAAATTTATTTATTTATAGTTTACAGAATATCAGACTAAAGCAAACGGTTTAATTGGAAACTGTCAAAATATCCCAGTGCCAGGGTAGTTTGTTCTCTAAATTAATTGGATATACACTTTGCAAATATTTATTTATTTAAATTGTTACAAAAAGTCGCTGAAGTTGTCAGTTTTTCTGTTATGAATAATATCGGCATATTGCAAGCTTTCAAAAATCAGCTTCGATATTCTTAAAAGCTACCAGTGAAGTTTCTTTAATTCTTCCTTGAAATGAATTAATTAATTAATTCAAATATGTTTGAAACAGAAACTGAAAGTCAAATACAACTCAAAATATGTTATTGACCTTCCATAATTTGTATGCTAATTTCGAACGTATAATAAAGGCATGCAAAGTGAATGTGACAGAAATCTAACCAAAATACAAACACACCTCCCTCGTGCACTACATATCATAGAATGCTTTAATTTTATACAAACAGGTAACTAGGATATACATATAAGAAACAGTAGAGAAAAAGAAATCAATAAACAGCGGTAACGGCAACTTATGCAAATTCTGATGAGTTTTCCAGATTAAAAATGTACATTCAGGTCGAGTGTCTGTCTGTGACTAACTGACGCCCTGACAGTCAACTCAATGGCACTTTTACCACACACACACACACACACACATACAGTTACTACATAAATTTCTGATGGCTACAATGGCGCGACAAAAACCAGTTACGAATGTAACGACATGTGTACCAAATACACTAGCACATATATGAAAGAAATTGCCTATAATGCAAGGCGAAAGCTGGGCCGGCCATTGTGAAGGCAAGCATGGTGGCAACTGCTGATAGACAGCAACAATGAAAAATACTAATAGAAATTGTTGCGCGTCGCCTGGTCGACGGTTCCAATGGCTTGGTCCATTGGTCCAATGAGTCGCACACTATCTAGGATCTGTGTGGGGGATGGCAGTTTTCCCCTATTTTTTTATGTATGTGGCGCCATGACAAGGCATAAAATCATAGTGGTTTGCAATTTTGTTGGCTGACAACGATGAGGCCGTGTCGCAACTAAGAAAGGGCGTTGCCGTTGCAGATACTCGCATTTAGATATACATACAAATAGGTAAAGGCAAAATACATTTAGATATCTATGTACAGTCGTACGAGGCATGCATTAGAGTATTCAACAAGATGGCTGTCTCAAAAGGAACTTTATTCTTAGCTTAAGGAAAGCTAAGCTAAAAATTAGTTCAATTATCAGTGACAATAGCTGAAAGGCCATATTTTTAATTGGTGTACACTTATAGCATGCATTTAAAGTATTTAAGAGCAGAGCTTTATTTTACTTTTACAATTTTGTAAAATGTTGTCCTCCAATATTTTGCATTTTCAGCCATTTTCAGCTATTTTCAGCTATCGTCATTGAGATTTGAATTATCGGCGACACATGCATAAAATAAGCCTTAAACATACTTTGTAGCATTACTGCAGGCGCACATAAAACATTAGTTTGTACATAGTTAGTTATATGCATATGAGGTGTACAATATGGGTTGATCATCCCTTATTATAATGGCATTAGATGCAGCATCTATCTAGCTGACAATTGTGTACCTGTTTTCTTGTTGGTCCGTCGACCTCCGTTGCCATAGGATAGGGGCGTCCATTGGGCACAACGGGTGGTCCCTCCGATTTGCTGCGACGCGAAGGTGTGCCGCGCTCCTCCGACTGCAAATAGAGGGAGATGAATAAAAACACACACACGCACATATAAATATATATATAAGTGTGTATGTGTGCTTGAGTTAATTAGCAGCTCATTAATATTACGCATACGACATGCTGACGTACATGATCAGGTAACACAAAAACAGGAACAATAGTCTCAACGCCATTGGCCCAAGTGAAAATCAATTAATTATTTATTGCCAGGGTGTGTAGTAAAACACACAGACACACAAACACAAACACACACAAACACACACACACCCAGACGCCCACAACATAACGAAAATACGTTTGCATATATACATAAAACTATATATATACTCATGTATTTGGTCCTTGATGTCCTTGTGTGCAACATGTGCGCATTTTTAATTAGCGGTAACACAGCAAACCTGTCGGCAACCAACCACATCAGCCTCGCACCTTTTGCCTGCTGTATTATTATGCGGCATTCGACTATGGCTTATGGTCACATTCATATATATTATACGAACTTCTGCATAAATGAATTAAGCCTAATGGCAAACTAAGCAAAAAGTAAACCTGCCACTTATAGAATTTTTTATATTTGCTCTTTAGCAAATGGGCATAATACATAAAAAAAAAGAGCATAACTTTTAATTCTGCCAGCGCACTTTAAGTTTCAGCAGTGCATGCATTTTTATGGTGGCAGCTTAAATTGGTTCACCACATACAAATGTGAGTTTTGAATTTATTTTATTCATTTTTCAAACATTTTTTTTACATAATTCTCAACATCTCGCAGACCAAGAGCATTACATATGCGTTTGCGACGTGACAGCTTTACAGAAACCACAAATGTACTTATTATATTGCCATGCAATTTTGAACTTTAAACAAGTTTTCTTACTGACAAGATTTTGTATGTCACTATATTATTTAACTTTACTTATTAAATAAGTAACTAGTTTTACTTATTAAATAGTAAAGAGTTTATACCTAAATATATTAAGTAAGTATATTAATCAATCAATTTGGATATTTTTTGCTATATTTTTTAATCTAGTGTGCCTACATCCTATGACCTTTTGAACATGTTCATCACTCAACTGTGATTGATTTTTTCATCTGTAATTTAAACAAATCTTCCTCCTGTTGTATTTTCTATATTTTTAAAATTAGTATGCCCACATCTTGAAACTATTTCACCAAATTTTGACTGACTATTATGCTGTTGTTGCATAATACATTCACGTAAAAATCTATGTCAGCCATACATATTTCTATCTCATGTAAAAATGATTTTATGCTACAATTTCCCAGAAGGAAAAGCTATTGCAATACCATGTGGCGTTGGGCAACCGTGCTGACTGTTCAAAATTATTGTGTGCTCTTTTCGCAAGGTCAAATTAAAGGTGAATGCTAGATTGTGATATTTACGTATATACACATAATATATATATAATATAATACTCACCCTCGCCGAACGGTGCGCACTGGCATCTCGACGTGCATCTGTATATTCGGATCCTATAATAAACTCGTGCGATTTATATGCTAATTCGGGGCATTTTTTTCGACGTGGCAATGGCGGCTCATTTGTTGCACCTGCGGTTAAATCGAACAAAGACATATAAATAATGTATTGATAAAGTTAGATGAGTGGACAACTCTGATTGGATTGATGGAATTGGATTTGACAAATACGCACCAACAAATTGACTTGGATTAGGCGCTGGCGCTCGGCGCACAACCTCCGGCCTCGAGTTGCCCGTAAATTCATGCCAACGATAAGTGCTCCTGTACTCCGAATGGAGCTGCTGAAAAATAAGAAAAAATAACGTTGTCACACAAATTTGTGTGGGTCGCAAAATTAATTATTAATTTTATGCTTGCATTAAATGTGATTGATTTTGGTATTAATGAATTTGTATGCGAGTCTTAAATACAAAATCGGCTGCATCAAAAGCGCAAATCTTATAATAGTGTTAAAGCGAAGGTTTTAAGTTAAGAATATGATTTTTGAATTCATTATATATATTTTTATTTATTTTGTATTATATTATTATTATTGTTATGTGGTGCCCCCTCCTGAGCCTGTAACTCCTGCATCAATCCTGATTTAAGAATTTATGTCATGTTGCGAGTTTCCATGTTTACTGAGCTTAAGACATATTTCCCCAAGTTACTGCATTTTCTTCTGTCTAAGGTGATACAAGGCGATATAATGCAATTTGAGGATTCCTCCAAGATTAGCTAAGTGACTTCTGTGTCTACAGTGACAGTGACCTGTCAAGAGAACGATAAGTATTCTAAGTCTGTAAATGTCTGTTAATTCGTTTACTTGCTTAATTCGCTACCAAAAAGACATTTGACCTGTGACTCTGCCCAATTTGAGTGACGCAGATCTGATTCCTCGTTTCTCAGTTGTAGCCGTATTGTCAGTGTTTTCAATGCCACAATACGGTTCTAGACTCTCTGCGCCCCTTCTTGCCTTGTTGTTTAATAATCGAAGCTCTGCATCTTGCTCCTTCGGATGTACAATTTTAGCTGAGCGTGACAATTGTGTGTACATTGAACAATTGTAGTTAAACAAAATTCAAACTACTTTATTAAAACACCGCCACTGCACTTCCGACAAGCAATCAACATTTTTCTTTTCAAATGTCATGACAATTAAAATGAGCACTGCCAAAATCTAAATAATTAGCCAAACGCACTGCCCACAAGTAATTAAGCTAAATAGAAAAAAAAACAAATGCACATTCAACTCAACTTTTTAAAATAAATGCAAATGAAAATATTTTTGTTGCAAGGTCGGAGCAGGACCGGGGAAAATAGTCATCGCTGAAGCCAAAGCTGGCGCAATTGGCCAGTTTAGATGGCAAATCGGGCGCGTTGCCAAAACGTGGTTGTCACATTTGCAATGCAGCAATGGTAATCGTAGTCATGTCCTTATTCCACTGCTTCTGCAAACATTTGATAATTGCAGCAAGAAGAAGCCAAGCAAACAAACAAAAAAAAACCAATAGCTATGGCCAATGTGTACAGTCAAGTCTATGGCTTAATGGCTATGACGAAAACAAAATGCGTTGTAGCCCTCGTAAAATTCGTATCGATTTAAGTGCAGCAACTGCAAAGGACTAAGGACTGAGGACAAAGGACATTTTCAAATTATTTTTCGTTGCAACTAGCTGTAAATTGTGTTAAACTCGGCAAAAGTCGCAGCGACAGCCAGGCAGTCAGTCGGATAGTTGGACTACTAGTGGAGTTAATTATGGCGTCAGTTGTTTCATTGTTTCATTGTTTTTGGGTTTTTGTTTTCTTCTGTGGCAACTTGGCCAAGTCATTTTCGTATCTGTGGCAGCTTATGGAATTTACTTAGCTGTGCTACATGTGCGCATTGCTACTTGAAGGTATTTTATCGTTGCCATTCTGTAGTACTGCGAAAGTAAAAATAATTGCAACTTAACACGCAAAGCCAAAGACAATGTTAGTTCACCCAGTTGGCCAGTTCACCTACTTCGCCAGTTGACTTTCTTAGTGCATTTTTCATTCAAAATGTCCTTTCTCTGTTTAATTTAAATCTATAAGTAGGTCTCGACGCTAACCACTTAATCGTACCTGATTACTAAAAAGCTACTTAATTAATTTGAAAAAGAACTTAAATTTTCTAAATTTAAGCAAGTATTTATAGATTGAAGGACAATCAGATAATTTGGTAAAAAGAGTCCTTTTAAAGCGGAAGGGTAACTTTTTCAGAACAGCTCTTGAAAACGATCAGTTTTGCTTTAAATAATGAGGCACAGACATCCCTGGCTAAAGAGTATCTCACAGCACTCACGATTTCAGCATTTTTAACTATTTGCCTTTCATTTGAAATACCTTTGTTTTATAGGCTGCCACACCTATTAAATCACAATTCAATACATAACCGCAAATCGAGTTAAAAACCAATTAACCAAATTGCCGGCAAAACTACAAAAATAGTGTAGACTGGTGCCCGACCCAAAGACTCAAAAACCATTAAGAACTTCATTAAAAATCAATTCGCCAGACAATAAATAACGTTCACTGCCAACTAACCACAAGAGAGTTTCAAGCAACTTGTGCACCGGGAACAATTCCCTGAAATAGGTTTGCAATACCACAACTCATGCATAATTTAGTCGATGAACTGTAGCTGAACGCACTTTAATCGATTAATTGTAGGTGGGCCTCCAGGAATGTTTGTGAAGAGTACCAGGGTGCTTATTCCAGTTGAGTAGCTCTGTTGGCACGTGGCAGCAACACCTTCCCCAATTTATTGCTCATTTTTTATGCTGCAACCATTTATCATGCGAATTTGCAGGATGGGTTCAGAAAAGAAAAACGATGGCACACCATAAATTTTAACCTGATTTATGTATGTTGCGCCAAATTGATTGCTTCGAAATGCAAGCCGCACTTCAACATACGAATTCGTTTTATTTTTATTTTATTTTATTTTTTCTCTGGCATAAACACATGCAAACATATTTCGCAGCGGTCATGTCAAAGTTTATTTAAAATTCAATTTCGGTTTCAATGTGTTTATGATTATTTTTTTATTTTTGTTTTTTCTTTTTACCTTTTCACATTTATTTTTTGTCTATCAGCACATTGTGGTTCAACGAGTTTGTGAACTTTTAAAAGTACTTTAAAATTGCAGCTTAACTTGTAAGTCTGTTAATACGACTACTATAATATTTTTCAGTGCACTGACGTTGAAATGCTGATAAGCCTGCAGACAGGCAGACCAGCCTGTCGTTCACTCAAATCACAGCTCAGTGAATCAAAATTTTAATTAAATTAATTAAAATAGCTTTTGAATTAAGACCGACAGTGATTGAGCAGGCTCAAAATTATTGATTTAAATATATATAAGATTACATTGTGGGTGCAATAATCTAAATTAATACCTCGAATATTCAATGGACGATTCGGTTTACTATAGTTTTATTTAGTATAAGCCAATTATGGTAATTTAATATACTTTTTACTACAACTCAAGAATATGCGCAGAGTTCTTCACAATTTCTTATTGACCATAACATTTTAATGGGCAGCACTTCTGGCAAGGCTGGTAGCTCAAGCTGCCAGTCAATGACTTGCTCTATAAAATACACAATTTGCAAAAGTCCACAAAATTTATTGCACATAGCAAATGTGAGTACAGCTCGTAAGAGATTGGTAAATCTAGTGCAATCATTTCCACAGTATAGTTGAAGGCGTTAGTTCGTTAGTTTATACTGCGCCATAATCCCCAGACTCACACTAAGCTACACATGTTGGATAACTTAACTGAAACCGCAAACAACCTGTATATATATATATATATATCAACACATATGTATATTTATATACATATATTTCCACATAGAGTTTTGTGTGCGTGTTTAATCTACCCGAAGGGACCTTTCAAGTTTTATGCGAACAAAGGACACCTCCAGGCAACACAGCACTTGCAGTTATCGCCTGAAATGGGCTGGACTGTCTGCGGTCTTCCATATTGCTGCTTGTTGTGTGTTTGTGAAGTGCAAGAAAAATGAAGCACAAACAAGCGCATAAAATGTAATCGCCCAGTGGGGTTTTTCTTTTGTCTTGGTTGCTACAATACGTTTTCAAACTATAATAGGATTTTATAAGTAGAACAATGATTTTATAGATATCACACAAAAAAGGTATATTTGACAAGAAATTTGCTATTAATAATGACCGACGTAAAATAACAAAATAATTGTCAAACAGTCTTTTAATAATAATAAAACTAAAAGTTCATTAACTCAGCTTACTTAGAAAATGAGAAAATTCTATAAGCAGTACAGCAAACGAAACAGCAAACAATATTTGATGTACAAAGACGGTAAATTATCCATATAATCAGAATATAAACTGACTGCGAATAGTTTATAAATAAAACAAAAGTTTAGATAGTAAAATCGATTACACAAAAGTCTTTCAAAAATCGTACATTAGAGAGAAAATTGTCCAAAGAAATACAATGCTAAATATGATTATAAAGTTTATTCTTTATAAAACATCTTCATCATCTCAGAGTCTGTTCCAGCATTAAGCCATGCTGTTAATATTCAATTTGAATTCAGTTTTCCATCTGAAACTAATCGTGCAGCCCACTTGTGCTAGCTTCAAGTTTTTTCCCAGTTTCTTTTATTATTTTTGGCTTACGATGCATTTTGCCATTTGACACCATTTTTGTCTGGCGCAGACGGCATCAGGTGCATGTGCAGGTAGCATAGGATGGTTGCTTCTATGGTTTCCCCTGGCACAGACCGAAAAACCTAACCTCACCAAACCAAGCCAAACACAAACATCGGGTGAGCCCGAGCCCACCCACCTCCTACCCCAACCCACTGGGTGGCCCATCTACATATGTGCTTCCATTCTGTCTGACATGGTGCCTCTACAATGCGTAGTTCTGGGCCGCAACGGTTTTGTTTGCTCGATTGCTCAACTAACCGCGCAATACAATCAGACTTTGCAAATAAACATGAGTGTGTGTGTGTGTGCGGGTGTGTGTGTGTGTGTGTGTTTGCTTGGTCTACACCAGCAATTAATTTACTCAACATGGCCCCAGACGTGTTGGAATGCTCGCCCTTTTTTAGTTGGCTGGCCAGCAGCCTAAATTCATGTGCCCTGTTTTAAGATGACAGCAACGAGCCACGCTGTCAGCTTGACTCTGACGCAGATTGACTCGTAACTGTGGAGGGGTCAGTTGCACCACTAATAAATAGCCCAGCTGTTGTCGGTGTCGTCCCTTAATGAGGCTACCGGCGAC